CATCTGAACCTAAAATTTTCTTTGTGGAAAAGTTTTTAAATACAAATACAATTTTTTTTTTTTTTTTTTTTTCATAAATACAGGACTATTTAGATTATCCTTTTTTGAGCTTTGGTAATTGGTATCTTTCAAGTAACCTATCCATTTTGTTGGAGTTGCTGAGTTTATTAGTTTATTTAAATAAGCTTGTTCATCATGTCAGTGATTCTCTCTCCCAATCCTAATATCACTAAATTGTATCAACCAATTTTATTTATTGAGTTTTTCCAAGAAACTACTTTTGGTTCATTTGATTATTTTCTATGATTTTTCCGTTTTTGATTTCATTGACTGTCATGCTTGTCTTTTGTTCTACTTTTTAAATATGCTCTTCTTTTTTTACATAGTTTTCTAAAATAGAAACTTAGGTAATTGAATTAAGATGATTCTCTAAAATGTAATGTAAACATTTAATGCTACATAAGCACTACTTTTCCTGTATCCTACAGTTTTTGATATGGTAATAGGTTTTCATTTTAATTCACTTTATCATCTTTTAAAATTACCATGGGGCTTTATTCAGAGGTATATTTCTTAACTTCAGACTATTTGGATGTTTTGCCAGGTATCTTTCTATAAATTTCTATTTTCTGTTGGGGTCACACATGGTCTAGAGTGGAAGAATCTCAGTCCTTTGATATAGGGAATACAGGGATCTTCCTACTCTGTCACATTTCCTCTATGTCAGCCATCATTTGCTGATAATATTTTAGTTCCTCATAGTGCTTATTGAGTAATCAGTGCTCAAGTTATGTTTGTTGAATTGCACTCGTTGACATCATTCAGTACTTCTTCCAGGCTTAACAGAAAGTGAATAAAGTGACATTTGTTGAATACCAACTATAGTAGGATGATAGAAACTTTATATACTTTTTCATTGAATGTTTACCATAATCTGTATATCAATTAATTGAGGTACATGATGGGATTTTCATGTCATATGTGAGAAATGGAGCCTCAGGAGGGTTAACATAAGTTGTGGCATCAGGGTTTGAATCTCTGTCACTCTTTCTTTCGAGTTGGACTCCTTACCTAATTGTGTGAGACCGTATGTGCTCTCACAGGTCATCTTAGAGCTGTTCCTTTTTATGATTGTTAATCGTGGGGGCTAAAATGGTAGTTTAAATTGCCTATGTTTAGAATGTATCAGCTGAGTTTTTCAGTTTACTGAACTTTTTATTTGGTCTAATTCATGGTGAAATTTTTGCAAAAAGGGGCTTATTTGGTAACTTTGTTTATTTTAGGCAGTATTTGGCAGTTGTATTCAAAGATAAACCCCTGGAGTTATGGGATATTAGAACTTGTACCCTTCTTAGAGAAATGTCCAAAAACTTCCCTGCAATAACTGCTTTGGTAAGTTACACTTTAAGAATTAAATTGTTTATTTAGGTAAATATGTATGTAGTGAATGTTTTGCTTAACCTTGAATCAAAATCAATACTGGCAAAATCATATTTTCTTGTTAAAAATGTGTGTTCAGAGAAGATGATCTAAATACGTGGAAATAACTCTTATTTTCTTGGGTGGATCAACCTAATATGTAAATTGCACTTACATAAGTGCAATTCCAATTAAAGTTTCATTTGGATATTTTGGGGAATATGATAAACGTATTCTAAAATGTTTATGAAAGAATAAACGTCCTAAATAGCTAAGTCATCCTTGAATAAAGTAGACTAAATGTGGTAGGTGGTGGTGGGGAGTGGGTTGGCCCTTCCTACCTGATAGTAGTACGTCTTATCAAACCACAGAAATAAGATCAGTATTGTATTGTCACAAGAATAGGAGGTGAGTCAGCGTAATAAAGAGCTCAGAAACAGACCCATGAGTATTTGGGGACTTCGTATATAGTAAAGTAGCACAAATCAAAGAGGATGGACGAACTGTGTAGTAGACAGTGTTGGGAAAACTGTCTCACTTTATGGAGAAAACTACTTGATCTCTTCTTAATACCATATCCAAAAGTGAGTGTCATAGAACTAAAGACCTAAATGTAAAAATGTAAAGCTACAAAATTGAATATAACAAAATACAAAATATTTTGTGACCTAGGGGCAGGAAGACACATCAGAAGCTCAAACCAAAAGGCCAAAAAAAAAAAAGAAAAAGAAAAAAGAAAAAGAAATGTAATGCATTTAATTAATCAAGATTAATGCTTTTTGTTTGATGAAGAATATCACTGTAAAAGTTAAATATAGAAGACATTTTGGGAAAACAAATTTTCCAGTGTCTAAATTTAACTAGAAACTCCTATAAGTCAACAACGAAAAAAAGCAGGAACTGTAGTGGAAAAATGAACAAAATCTGTGAAGAGCTAATGGGAGACAGAGAACCCTAAAAGGCCAACAAGCCATATAAAGGAATGTTCAGACTCCTCAGTTTTCAGAGATATTCAAATCATGATATGGCTCAACCTTTTAGACTAACGAAAGCTGGAAAGCCATGTAGTGTCAAGTATGGGTGGAATATAGGGTATGGGAATCCTTGTGCATTGCTGGTAGGAATGTAGACCAGTGCAGCCGTTCTGTGAAGCAAACTGGCAGCACTTGGGCAAACACAGATATCCTCTGTGTCTGTTGAGCTCTTGGTCATAAAAGAACTTTTGCAAAGATGTTAACTGTGGTGGTGTTTGTCATGATCTGAGTTTGGAGACCATCTGTGTGTTTTTTACTGAGAGAGGAGACAGATTAGCAATTGGCTGATGCACCCATGGAGTGTTACGTAGCATGCAGATACAGGAGGAATAGGACTTAAATACAGTGGAAAGAGTAAGAAGCAGGATGAAATACATACACACACACACACACACACACACACATATAGAAACATGGTACTATTTATATAAATTAGAAGTACATGTGAAATAACTACATGTTAAGAACTTATACATATGTGAGGATATTGAACTGAAGGCTTTATAATAGGTGGAATATAAAAGGATATGTAAACAAAACAAGTGGTTTTAGTTGGATCAATGGATGATAAGGGCCCTGGTTGGAGAACTGTGATCGTCTCATCCTGTGCACATAAGAGATGGGGCCCGGGGGTGGGGGTGGTGAGGAATAGGTGACACTATAATTGAATTCATTATTTTCATTTTGTAAATTTTTTTAACAAACATCAAAAAGGTCATACATTTTGGAAGTTGGCCATAAAAGCTCTAGTTAAAATGCATTCATTCAGCCTTTCTGTAAGTAGGTCGAATCTAAAGAACACATTATGGATTCATGTGCAGTAATAATAAGTGATACTGGGCAGTGGTGTGTGTGCCCAGCTGTTCTGGAGGATTCTTTGACAGAGGGAAACCTAATAGATGTAGTTTTGTCTGCCTTTGCTTTACAGGAGTGGTCACCATCTCACAACTTGAAGAGCCTGAGAAAGAAACAACTTGCTACTCGAGAGGCCATGGCCCGCCAGACCGTAGTCTCAGACACAGAGCTGAGTATTGTTGAATCATCTGTGATCAGGTACAGTACAGTGTTTCTTGACACTGTCATTTGTGCTATTAGCATCATGGGAATTGGACAAGTGTCATCAGAAGGGACTCTGCTTTTGAATATATTTAGTTTCATCTTTTAGTACATACCCAGATTATTAAAAAGTTAATTTTATCATTTTTATTATTGTACTATACTGTTTATTATAGCTAGTAATATATGCAGTAATATTCAGCCATCAGCATCTGTTAGTAAATGTGATCACTTCATAAACTTCAGCTTCTTGAAATTCAAAGTGAACATAGCATAGACGTATACAGATAGATCATATTATTATTTATGCACACCAAAGAAAACGTAAATTTGTGTACCATCCCCATCCATACTAATCTTACAAATAAAAGCTTCAGAGATAAGGATGAGTCACTGTACAGCCTCCCTTCTGTCGAGGAGACTTCTATAGCAAAAACAGCCGTGAAGTTTATTTTTCTTGTATTAAGCTTCAATCACCATGTTTCTCTGCCCAGAGTAAACTTCCTCTGATGATATGACTGTTTAGGAGTGATTCAGGTTTACTCATGATTAGCTGAGCAAATATTAGTTTCAGACTTTAAAAAAAATAGTTTTGGATCTCTTAATGCATCTGTATTTGGGCAAGTCAGTTAATTATGGGTATCACGCTAGGAAAAAGAAATATCTTTATCTTATTTTTCACTGTTCCAAAGCTTGCTGCAGGAGGCAGAAAGTAAATCTGAACTTAGTCAGAACATCTCTGCCCGGGAACATTTTGTATTTACTGATAATGATGGCCAAGTTTATCATCTCACTGTTGAAGGAAACTCAGTAAAAGATAGTGCTCGGATTCCACCAGATGTGAGTAAAACCTTGATTAAACCTTCATCAGGAAGATTTTGTTTTGTCAGTTCCATATCCAGTGACGGAATCGTTAAGTTGGAAAGCTTCAGAAAAGCCTAATGTAAATAAACTTTATTTAAGGAGACAATAAAATTGATTAAACTTGTTCCATACTGCTACAGAATAACGCTTTAACTATTTTGATTAAATGTTCACTGTGTGCTACTCATTTTTATTTCCATAATAATCCATGAGGAGTTTACCTGTAACAAAACCAAGGAAGAATAAGTAACTTTCCCAAGGTTACCCAGCTTACTTATATGGCAGAGCAGTATTTTAAAATCAGGTCTGTCTGATTTCAGTATCTGTCTTCTTTCCATTTCAGGCATTACCCTGAAGGATTTGACTTAGAATCTAGTATTATTTTTGGATAACAGTAATCAGGTTGTAAGTGTATAGTATTATTACCATTTACTAACTTACATATATCCTTCTTATGGCCTTGTGGAATCTGTAACTAAAGTTTTGTCGTTAATCATTTGTGTCAGCATGCATCTCATAGATTGTTTTTAATAGATGGATCATGAAAATGTTTATGTTAACTAACACAGGCTATTATAATGATTAAATGAAGGCATGAGGGGATTTTTTTAAAATAGGTATATTTATTTTAAATTGCCATCTAAAAATGGAATGCTCTAGTAGAATGCCAACCCCCCATAATTTTATTGGTGGCTTTGGGGTCTCATAAAGTTACAATCTAAATGTTGGCTGTGGCTGCAGTCTTTTGAAGTGTAATGGGACAGAAGGATCTGTTTCCAAGATGACTGACTCATAAGGCTCTTGTACATTAATGCTGGCTGTTGACAAGGGACCTCAGTTCTTCCTCATGTGAATCCTTCCATAAGGCTGCTTGAGTCTCCTCACCAAATGACAACTGGCCTCCCCTAGAGCAAGGGATCTGAGAAAGCAAAAAGGAAGTTGCAGAGTCTATTACGACCTAGTTTCAGTAGTCTCTTCAAAGGCAACTTCTTAATTAAACGTTCTATTATGTGGTTAGGAAAGTAGATATCTTAAAGTATTGCTTCATATTTTACAGAATTTCATTTCTTTAATATAACTAAGTTTTTTTATTAATTGACTTGATTATAATATTGATTTTTAAATCCAGTTTTTGTTTTGTTTATTTACTGTTGGCAGGGTTTATGCAGTCATCAGTGTGTATGCTAGTCTGCTAATGGCCAATTATTCAAAACACTGGAGTTTTCTTACTTTTTACTGTGTATACCATTTGAATTTTTATATTATACAATAAATGCAAAAACAAGATTTCTTTTAATAAATAGAGAAGTAATCGAGCAGTAATATTATTTAATAGCTAACATGTATTAACCATTTATTGCATGGCAGGCATTGCTTTAAGGCCTTTGCCTTTATAAATTTATTAATACTAGCAACAACTCAAGTTTCACGAACTTACCCTACTTTATTGACAATAAATCCAAGACACAGAAAGTTAACTAAACACGCCTCAAATCACATAGTAGTTTCAAGCTGGGATTCAAGCCCAGGCAGTCTGACTCCAGAGCTCAAGACTACTAAGCCTTCCATGATACCACCTCTGAGCATCTGTTAGAACTGCAGGTTCCTTTCTTCCTCCAAGTTAGATTGATTATAGTAGCATTTCATTCTTATATTGTGCTGCTATATGTAACTTCTGTGCAAAGCTTTCTGTGAATTTAAACTGCATATGCTGTTAGTAAACAGAATCTCTACAATACCTTCAGTGATTCCACAATGTTCCAAAAGGTATCAGTGAAGCTCTGGATCCTTTTTTTTAATAGAAAAATTACTGCACAATTAGTTATAAAAGAGCTTTCAGTTTTCCTTGAATGGATTTAGTTATCCTTTTCCAGTGAGAGATAAGTTTGAGTCACTTCTCTGGAAAACGTTCCCTTTACTTCTCTTTTTTTCTTAATTTCCTTTTTTTTTTTTTTTTTGAAGTATTTCTTTCTCGGAAGACATCTGCTCTCTTTAAATCTAGCTCAGGTAACTACTTAATGTCTCTCAGGTTGAAATCTCCTGTTTCTTCACAGTTGAAATTGATAGGCAATGTAACTCTTTGTTAGTATCTGAAATCTGTTTTGGGGTTTGATGACTAAAGTATACTAAAGCACAGCCTTTTAAATTAAGTTTCATGAAAATATTTATTTATTATGATGCCTTTTGCAACATGGTAAAATTTATATGTATTTGTTGCTGTTGTTTTCTAGGGAAGTATGGGTAGTATTACCTGCATTGCATGGAAAGGTGATACATTAGTGCTTGGAGATATGGATGGAAATTTAAATTTTTGGGACTTGAAAGGCAGAGTATCCAGGTAGGAGCCAATAATGAAATCTTGTTATTTAGTTTTTTAAAAATGTGACATCTTGATATGATTCCATTAGAGACTTGTGACTTGGCAAGCAGGATCAGTAAACTCGTGGAGGTGTAGCTTGGACCCTTGGGTCCCTTGTCACCTAAACTTGGGAGGATGGGCCTCAAGCCAAGCATTCATAGGAGACTGTTATCTGCAAGTGGCCCCTGCAGAAGTCTTAGCTGACCTTAAAGGGCAGGCCTTTTCTATCACATGTGGCCCCCAGTCTCAGCAGGTAAAGGGTTCACGCATCATCAGACCTGTCAGAACTGGAAATAGTGAGAGACATTGAATAGTTTCTGGTGACTAGATCTCGCTCTACATTGTATTGGTGTTTTTGTTTCTTTGTCTTCAGAGGAATACCTACACACCGAAGTTGGGTGAGGAAGATTCGTTTTGCTCCTGGTAAAGGAAATCAAAAATTAATAGCAATGTACAATGATGGAGCTGAAGTGTGGGATACTAAAGAGGTAGGCCCTCTCCATGAGGATGAAATGTAAATGAATTGTTAGCCATAGGAACTGTGCTTTTTTTTTTTTTTTTTTTTTTTTGTATTTTTAGTAGAGACGGGGTTTCACCATGTTGACCAGGACGGTCTCGATCTCTTGACCTCGTGATCCACCCGCCTCGGCCTCCCAAAGTGTTGGGATTACAGGCTTGAGCCACCGCGCCCGGCCTGGAACTGTGCTTTTTTAAAAAACTTCTTTCTGATTTAAAAATGAAAACTACTTAATGAGTTTGTCAAGTTTCTCAGAACAAATTATTTTCTTTTAAAAACTTTTACTATATGTTCTAAAGGTAATAACTGAAGATTTATTTATTCTTTAATGTTATCATTGTCTTTGAGACCTTTAAAATGCTGCCTATTTATGGAAGATAGATTGCCAGAGGCTGTCCAGTTCTAAACTAGCACTGGGCCTTTGCCACAGACTGTCTTCCTTGACCATTTAATCTACAATAATAAACGTCTTCCTTTTCTGTCTGGAACTGACGCCCAGATTCACTCTTGAAGGTTCAGATGGTGAGCAGTTTAAGAAGTGGGAGAAATATGACCTTTCGTATATTGGATGTGGACTGGTGTACGTCAGATAAAGTGATCTTGGCATCAGATGATGGTTGCATCAGAGTCCTAGAGATGTCTATGAAGTCTGCGTGCTTTAGAATGGACGAACAAGAGTTAACTGGTATGGAATCCTAATGATAGTGTGCTTTGAAACCTGTCTTTACTTTGCTGCATGCTGCTGTATTTTGGGGAGAGAGCTGCTGCTTGTTTCATTTTAGTCTTATTTTCTTAGAACCTGAGTTTAAGAAAACATATTAACTTGAAGTTTGAGCGTTTTTACTGCTGAGATGCTGCAATCTGCATAACTATAGGTGTCAGTCATTCCCAACTCAGATTTTATAAATGCCCCGTTTTTGGCTCTTTGGTTCGTTAACAAGATAAAAGATGTTTACATTCATAAAAATGGCTTACTCAGAATTTAGGCGAACTCATCAGAGGACATAAATCTAGAGATAAGACTGCTGGCTTGTTAATAATGGCCTTATATCTTTTACAACCACATATCATTGAAAAGTCACTTTGGAAAGTGTTATGAGTATTGTGAATTTTGATGCCAATCTGTGACTAGTATGACCAGTCAAAGCAAATTAGGAGATTGCAGTATCTTGCTGTGTTTTGTATGGTTGTTTTGACATTGCTTTTTACCAGAATAAAAAACATTTTAGTAGAATATACCCCATATGTGACTTCTAAAAAAAAAGAATGGGACGATTGTGAATGCATCTGTTTATCAGTAAAAAGGCAGTTTTTGGCTGACGAAATACAGTTTTCATCCTTGGAAGGTATTTGATCCTCATTGGAGCAGAGGAGGGAACTTCTTGCCTGAGTATTCTCCGAGCAAAACTTTGGTACAGACTCCAGGCTGATATGTAGAAAATTTCATGAAACTTTTCTGAACCTTCATAGAGTCAATATTTGGCGTTTCAGAGACCATAAGGTTTTAAAATCCTGGTTTTTCACTTTATGTTCATGCTTGAGGCACTACCCAGTTGCTGCTAATGTTAATGGGGCTGCCTTTAACTTACGTTAGATGTGCTTTGGTTTTTACTGGTCACTCCTGCCCACTGCATTTGGGCACCACCATTTCTTACTGTGTCATGGGCTGCCATCAGGTGAAGCCAGAATTCAAGACCCATGCATTCCCATGTCTGTCCTTGAGTCATTTGCCAACTCTGCAGAAGCATCATGATGGCCTTCACGGAAAGGGCAAGCATTGGTATTCATTTAAACCTAAAGGTATTGAGGAAATTGAAGAAACTTCAAGGGCGGTTTTTGAAAAAATTAGTTACTAATTATAGGTAAAGAAGTGTAGACCTGCAATTGAAATGTTTGAAGAGCTTTTCCCTCACTTTTAACATAAAATTTGAATCTAAAAAGCTCCAAAGTCAAGGTGTTTCTTAAAGAAAAAAATCTGGTGGTAGTGTAAACGAGGAGTGAAGAAAAAAACATTTGTGTGTTTACCTCCAGATACACAGCTGATTTGGTCTTGGGGAAAAAAGCTTGATATAATAGATTTCTATTCTGAGAAATTAGAAGTAGATTTGGGGCTTACTGATATGGGATAAAAATAGAATTATTTTAGGTCATAGTTATTAATATATCAGTATTTCCTATGTATTCTTCAATTCTCTCGATAACAAGTAGAGAACGTCATAAAATATTGATTCACATCTGTCCATTTTTTTATTGCAGCTTAGATTGGCCTCTTCTTCCTCCAATAAAGAGAGGTCAGTCAGACAAATTAGAAGATTAGAATTCCTGTGTTTGAGTTGGAGAACCCTTCTTGTCTGCTACCTAATTTGTCAGGGCCATAAAGTGCCATAAAAATAAATCTTTATAGTCATTTTGGCAGCATCTAAAAGGAATGTAAGAGTATGAGACTTGTTTAATAGCATTCTGGTATCATGCAGTTTCTGTACTTCCTAAATAGTATTTACTCGATATCGAGGAAGTTTCCTCCTCAGTGTTAAAGGCCATCTAAGCCCAATTTCCTAAGTAAGCATATATAGTAAGAAGCTTTCCAAAATGAAGTTTATGCACAGACCCTTTCTCTTCATCTGCGTCATCTTTCCATAGTCATTTTCAGTAATCTTGGGGCATTCAGAAATGTGTCACAATGACTTGCAGTGTGGGGAGGTCCAGATACGCTAAACAACCTGGAACGGTCTGGCACAATGAAGAATTGTCCTGCCCCAAATGCCAGTGGTAACCAGTAGCTGTCTTCTTCCCCCTCATTGAGTCACACTGAATAAAATCACAAAAGAGGGTTCTTTCCTTCTCAGATTTCCAGCTCACCTTGATGTTGCCATTTCCAAGTGATGGAGGAGTAACTTTTTCTACTGCTTTTCTTCTTGGCTCTTTGGTTACTGATTTTCTGCATTCCTGTCATGTAGGTAGCTAAAAACCTGGGTGTTATGATTAACACCTCACGTAACTTTAGCCCAAATGGAACAGAATCTGTGACAAACAGCAATGATGCTAACTGCCTTTGCATTCTAATTGTGTAATTTCCAGAGGTGAATGAGCTCTTGCAGGTGAGTTTCTCCAGCTGTGAGATAATCACCTATTACTTTTTCATGCCTGATCTTTGCCCTTCAGAAGAAAGACTTAAATTCATTTGAAGAAGGGGAGTAGTAAAGGTCACTTTCAGTTTGTTAATGCTCATTGGGATGCTCGCAACAATATTTTGCTTTTGGAGAAATAACATGTATTTGTTTTTAAAAATAAGATATTTTCCTCTTTTTACTCAGACTTGATAAATGTTGTCTTCCTTGCATTATGTAAACACTCTGGATGCTGCTTCCTACGTCGATTCTCTTGTATCTTTTCATTTGTTCATTGATTAAGAAATTACTGCACAGCATGGGAACTTCCTTGAACCATTCCGAGATTATTATGTACTGTTAATTTTTTCCCCTAACATTTACCACATACCATGATGTAATACCAATAACCACTGTCTGAACATGAAAGGGGCTGACTTGAAAATTTGAGAATTATATAGATTGTCATCTATGGGGGACGAATAGAAAGAAAGTTAAGCTAACCACCTGCATCCCTTTCAGTGCTAAGTTTTCAGTGGCTCTGTAGGTGGTTAGATAAGCCTCATTTTTCCAAGATACAGTCCTTCCTGTATAGCCTAGATGTAAAAGAAGAGATGACTAAGTGGAAATTAAAAAAAAAAAAAAAAAAAATTCAAAGCAAAAGAAAAGCTTTAATAAGTAAAAGTGTTCAATAAGCAAAGCCAAATATAAGTAATTATCTGGGGGAAATTTACAAGTCACAGACTGTCTACTGAGGGGGAAAAAGATAAATGACCCTTCAACATATGAAAAGATGCTCAACTTTATCCATAATAAGAAAAATACTTGACTTCCTACTAGTAAGGATAAAAGAAGAAAAAGAATGTTTTTAAATAAATTTTTAAAAAGAGAAAAATACAAATTAAAACTACAGTAAAAAATCATTTCTTACCTATCAGATGAACAATTCAAAAGTTTGAAAATATACTGTTGGCAAGGCTACGAGGAAACGAGCACTCTTATCCATTGCTTACAGCGAGATCCCTATAGGAAGAAATGTGGCAGTATCTATCAGAGCTACATGCACATTTACCTTTTTACCCAGCAGTCCCAGTGCTAAGAATTTATCTTAAGATGTACAATCATACATGTGACCAAAATGCACACAGTTATTCATAGTGAAATTTTGGAAAGAGCCTAACTACTTAGCCATAGGAGATTGGTTGAATAAATTTGGGGACATCTGCAGAATAGAATAATCTATGCAGCTGTAAAATAGTGAGGAATAGCTCTATGACCTAATGCAGAGTGATATCTAGAATATGTGTAAGTGAAAAATGCAAGCGTAAAAGAGTGCTTATAGCCTGCTTGTGTACAAAGGTGAATTTTATGCATAGTTGCATGTACACATACGTTTGCTTACTACAACACACACGCATATACAGAATAATCCAGAAACCGATGAGAATAGTTAGAGGATATAGATGGAAAAATGGAGAGTGTGGGGATAGCAGTGAAGCTCTTCTGTCTTTGTTATATAGTTTCAAGTTTTGAACCATTTATGTATTTTACATATTCAAAATATACATTGTCAAAAAGGGTGAAAGAAAAACCAACCCTAAAATTGAATGCAAGAAACAGTTGAACCAAACTGTGTAACAGCAACATTGGTAACATAATCTCACACACACACACACACACACACACACACACACACACACACTAGTTCAAATAACTGCAACACTGAACTTCTCACTCACTGCCCACCTTTAGTGGTTTATATTCTAATGACAGAGAGTTGCTAAGGAATGTTGAACTTTACCTGAGTAGTTGACAGTGGCACTAGTAATTCTGAAACTGTTTTGTGTATTTTATAGTCTGCAACAATTTAGTAACCAAATTGCAGAACCAGGGTCTGTGCTGATGGAAAGGGAGATAGATGTGAAGTGGCAGTGGTGGGAAGAAACATTCCAGGGGTGGATTTGGATTGATAAAAAATCATGACTTCTTGCAAATGTGTATTCCCTGGCTCTGCTCACGGTGTTGTTACATTGACAATGGCAATGAGCACACATAGCACCAGATTTTACTTTGTAAATTCCATTCCCAGGCTAAAAGGACAGAGGCACAAAGATGCAAGACGGGTCTAGGGCATCGTGGTGCCAGAACCCAAGTAAGGAATTGAAAAAACAAGGATGACCTGATGTAAGAGATAAATGGTTATGAAACGCTTCTGTCAAATCAGGGGCAGTCTGAGCATCACGAAAAACAATGATGGTGTGGATGTAAGTGCAGAATACCAGAAAGCCCTCATTCCATAGTGATAGTCACAGTAAGAAAAGAGGGAGTGGGAAAGAAGCAAAAGCTCAGGTGGGCAGAAGAATGCCAGCTGACAAATGCAGGAAGAATAATCATTAGAAAATCACCAGTTTGCAACCCCTGATAAAGTAATTAATTCAAGCAAGGATCACTTGTGGATGTCAAATTACTGAGTAAAAGGATGTTTGAGGATAGGAAATTCAGTCTGACAATATTTTCCCCACATGATACTTACTAATTATACAGAGGGAAGGTGTCCTGATAAGAGAGAGCGCTGGTGAATACCCCTTAGCTAGATGATCAGATTTAGTGTTTCCTATAACCAGACAGCTAATGTATTCCTTCTGGTACATGCAATGCAGTGAAAAATGCACAGCATCCTTTGTTCAGACTCTGCCAAAAATGTTTAACCTGAATCTGATAGTCAGAAACCAGACAAGTTAGAACATAGGACATTTTCCATAGCAGCTGACCAGGACTCTTCAAAAATGGAAACTTCGTGTAAGACCAAAACCAAAAAGTGGGAGGACCATTCTAGATTGGAGTAGACCAACAAGACGTGACAGTGCAGTGTACTGGCCTTGACTGGACCCCAGATTGTTTAAAATAATACAGCTGTCAGGACATTTGGGGAATAACAAGGAACTTTTGAATTTGGACTACATTTTAACTGATTTTACTGAATCAGTATTAAAATTCTTGGGTGTAAAAAAACATTATTAAAAATATTTCCAATCACTTTCTGGCTTTTAAATTGAGAAGTCCACATAAAGTATTTTATGTATAATTTAATTTTTATTTAACTACATAGAAGTTTTGTAAAGCAGAGCTTGCCAATAGAAACATAATGTGTGCCACATATGTAAGTTTAAATTATAGAATCCACATTTTAAAAAGTAAAAAGAGATTAAATTAATTTTAATTAAAATTTTATTTAAGCCGATATATCCAAAGTTGTATTTCAACATATAGTCAGTATTAAAAGTTAGTGAGACATTTTACTTTTTTTTTAAGTATTCATTCTTCAAAATTCAGTGAGTATTTTACATTTATTATAAAATAACTTGAATTGCCCTCTAAATTTAGAGGACAAATTTTCAGCAGAAACAGTCAAGCTCTATTTAGATTTTATAAAACTTTCAGTTGACAGAGTAGTTATGTATTCAAATTGTTTCAGACATGCTTAAGACTTATATAATGACTGAATCAATAATCACTTTTTAAGTTTGAATTTAAGATAGACATTCAATTCCTTCATTATACTAGCAATATTTTAAGTGACTATCATATTGGATATCATACTGGATAATAGCACCATCCAAAGTTGATATGGATCACTGATATGATTTGGCTCTGTGTCTCCACCCAAATCTCATGTCAAATTGTAATCCCCACAGGTCAGGGGAAGCAACTGGCAGGGGGTGATTGGATCGTGGGGGCAGATTTCCCCCTTACTGTTCTCATGATACTGAGTGAGTTCTTAGGAGATCTGATGGCTTAAAAGTGTGGTACTTGCCCCCCTTGCTCTCTCTGTCCTGCTCGCCATGTGAGATGTACCTTGCTTCTCCTTCACCTTCTGCCATGATTGTAAGTTTGCCTCCCCAGCCATATGAAACTGTGAGTCGATTAAACCTCTTTTCTTTATAAATTACTCAGTCTCAGGTAGTTCTTTACAGCAGCATGAAATACAGTCACTTAAATAAGCCAATACCATTTATAGGTTTATGTCATTTTGCATAATTTTATCTATTCAAGGGATCCATGGATAAAGGCTCTGCAGGATTCTGGAGGAGAATTGGTAATAAGGCCAAGCTGTAAAAGCCAGGGCACCCCCAGAAAATTGGAGCTCAGGTCAAGAGTCCAACTGAATGTAGGGTGGTCAGAGCAGAGCTGCTGGGCATTGCAGCCTTTCGGTCTTCTGCTTCTTTGCACTGGAACATGTTGACAACTAGGCAAATCTTGTTTATTAGCTATTTTTAAATAACTCTTGTTTATTATTTATTTTTAATATTTAAAAATAATGAACTTTGCCGGGTGTGGTGGCTCAAGCCTGTAATCCCAGCATTTTGGGAGGCCGAGGCAGGTGGATCATGAGGTCAAGAGATCGGGACCATCCTGGTCAACAAGGTGAAACCCCGTCTCTAGTAAAAATACAAAAAATTAGCTGGGCATGGTGGCGTGTGCCTGTAACCCCAGCTACTCAGGAGGCTGAGGTAGGAGAATTGCCTGAACCCAGGAGGCGGAGGTTGCGGTGAGCCGAGATCGCGCCATTGCATTCCAGCTGGGTAACAAGAGTGAAACTCCATCTCAAAAAAAAAAAAAAAAAAAAAAAAAACTTTATTGCTATTTGTTGAGTCTGCATTGAATCCTTTATTAAAGTAGAACCAGAGTTGTATACCACACAAGATACTTAAATTTAAAAGGGGAAAAGAAGAATATGTTGATCAGATTTGAATGCAGAGATTCTGCTCTTGACTCTGCCTCCTAAGCAGTGACTACATTGAATATACTCTCTCAGTTGCACCAGATTTACCTGTTGCTCTCTGCTGACTACTCTGTAAATGGTTTATAGCCGAAGCTTCATTGTAGTATGAAACTTCATTTTATTTTTAAAAACCTTTCTTTGTTGTCTAGAGCCTGTGTGGTGCCCATATCTCCTTGTCCCAAGGGCCTCCCTTGCCTTGAAAGCCTTCTTATTACACCAGCCTTGGAATGGACAGTATTCTTTGGACATTTCTCATGTGTAAGTTTTTTCATTTTTCTTTTTGTTTCATAATTTACTTGGGATTGAAGGACACCCATGAAAGTCAGCCATGGCCTATACTCCAGAATTTAAAGGGAATGGAGCCTTTAAAGCCAAGAGACACTACAGACTTGCCAGGCTCCCTCTGGCTTCCATCTCTCAGGGGCTTTTGTGGAAGTGTGGGTCAGTGAGGAGCTGTGAGGTCGTGTATTGCTCTCCAGTGGCTGTGTGCTTGTCTTATGGTCTGAACATGGATGTGTCATGACGATAAAAAGGTTGCACGTGAAGAGGGCAATGGAAGCCAGGGGAATTTGGAGCCAGGCCCATGCTTTTCAAAAGCAGCATCAACCATTGTGGAAGACAGTGTGGCAATTCTTCAAGGATCTAGAATTAGAAATACCATTTGACCCAGTAATCCCATTACTGGGTATATACCTAAAGGATTATAAATCATTCTACTATAAAGACACATGCACAAGTATGTTTATTGCAGCACTGTTCCCAATCGCAAAGTCTTGGAACCAACCCAAATGTCCATCAGTGATAGACTGGATAAAGAAAATGTGGCAAATATATACCACGGAATACTATGCAGCCATAAAAAAAGGATGAGTTCATGTCCTATGCAGGGACATGGATGAAACTGGGAACCGTCATTCTCAGCAAACTAACACAAGAGAAAACCAAACAGCACATGTTCTCACTCATAAGTGGAAGTTGAACAATGAGAACACATGGACACAAGGAGGGGAACATCACACACCTGGGGCCTGTCGAGGAGTGGGGGGCTAGGGGAGGGATAGCATTAGAAATATTTAATGTAGATGATGGGGCGATGGGTGCAGCAAACCACCATGGCACGTGTGTACCTGTGTAACAAACCTGCATGTTCTACCCATGTATCCCAGAACTTAAAGTATAATAATAATTTTTTAAAAGCAGCATAATTAGCTTCAGGGGTTTACTGTGTTTTACAAATCTC